TGTGCACTTAAAATTAAATTGATAAATTATACCTAAATCTTCTCATATTTGTCAGTTAATCATTTAGACCTCTTCACATTTAGAATATTACTCCTACATCTTATGACATTTGTGCACGTATAACACGTAACCCATTTTCATTGATATGTATTAATATAACCGTTAAAAAATATAATTTTATCCTAATAAAAAATTATAATTTCATATTACCCTTTATTTTATAGGTTCAATATACTATAAAGTTCAAAATCTAGTTTACCATTTGAATGTCTAATAAAATATAAATATTTATATAATATTTTTCATATTACCTTTTATATAAATATCTACATTTTATTAGACATTCAAATGGTAAGCTTGATTTTCAACTTTAGAGTATATCGAATCCACAAAATAAAAGGTAATATAAAATTATAATTTTATATTATGATAAAATCATATTTTTTAACGATTATATTAATATATATCAACGAAAAGTGGTTATGTGTTACACATAGTCATGAGATGTAAGTGGAATATTCTAAATGTGAAGGAGTTCAAATGATTAAGTGACAAACATGAGGAGATCAAGGTATAATTTATTAATTTAATTTTAGGTGCACATTGATACAAATTTCTATCTTTGAAGATGCAAATTGAGATTTTTTATCTTTGGGGATGAACATTGATACAAATTTCTATCTTTGAGGGTGCAAATTAAAATTTTTGATCTTTGGGGGTACACATTGATACAAATTTCTATCTTTGAGGGTGTAAATTAAGATTTTTGATCTTTAAGGGTGTAAATTGAGATTCGAACAATCTTTTCGGAGTGCAAAATGAGATTAACCCTTTTATATATACATATATTAATTTCATATAAAAATATAATGGTAAAATATATATATATATATATATTAAAAAAATTTAAAAATCTATATAAAAAATTAAAATTTAAAATTTTAAAAATTAAAAAAATATAAAAAATATATTTTAAATTTAAAAAAATATTTTTTTCATGTTAACTAAAGGTGAAAATTTTTGACTCAATACGATAACACGACTCGAACTCAATACGAAAATAAACATGTCAACTCGCAACTCGACACGATATAATTAGTTAAATGAGTTAAGTTAAATTTAATAAATATTCGACACAAATCCGTAATGACTCCACGAATCTAACATGACACGATTCGATTGTAACCTCTAATCTTAACTAGCACAAAAAAAAAAAATAGTAATTTTTATTTTTCATCTATCCAACCAAACACAAAAGAAGGAAAATATATCTTTTATCCTTGAAGGATAGATAGTATATCCCTCATATTTTTCATTTTTTATATTTTTTATCCTCCCTATCAAACGGAGCATAAATCAGTAAGATGCAACAGTGAAAAGCAGAATTCTAAATCCCTCCGGTAATTGGGTTTGTTGTCCACCGAGTGAGTTAAGATTTGTTTTACTTTTAGATTGTAACTTCAATTCTATTTATTACTTGAATGTATATAAGTATTTTTTCAGTTAAAAAAAAAAAAAAACCTTATCCAATCTTTAAAAATCGAAATGCTGGTACGAATTACCAGATGAGGATTTCAAGAAATTGATCAAAGCATGGAAAACAAAGTTTGCGTGTGTATTCACAGAGTTTGCGTATTAATGGTTTGTTCCAGATGACAACGTTTGATGAGTATTTTTATGTTTGTTCGAACGAGGTATTTCTAAGGTTTTTCTTTTTTTTTTTGGTCATAGGTATTTCTAAGGTTCAAAACTAGAATTTTTGCAACATTCACTGAACACTAGAAGCTCGATCGACCGAAGGAGTACAAAAGATTGGTTAACATGGAAGGACTTCAACGGTTTGTTTGGATAAATTTTAAAGAGGGATTTAGACCGATTTCTCCAAATCTTTACAAATTCAGATTCTTATTTGTAAAAATAGAATTTAATATTGAATCCGATTCATACTTCTATTTAGTATATAACATATATATATATATAAGCCTCACAAATATATCATAATTATTAATAATTATTTATCTTATAAATGATTATTTTACTCTTAATCAATTCTATTCATAATCATGTTAAAGAGTATAATTATCTTTTAGATCCTTAACCCCTTGTCTGTCTTCCCAAACTCACTCCTCCCTACGTTTGACGAGACTTATGATTATAAGTTTAATTTTTGGGCTAATTACGATTGAATTTAAAAATTCAAGACTAAATTTTTTATACAAATATAAGATTTGATAAAATTTTAAACTATTTTTTCCAAATCCATCCGACTAAACCATCATACCCCCCTCGGCAAACAGCCCTCAAGGGTACCATTTGTGAGAGTGAATCGGAGCAAACTTGCTACTGATCGAGGATTCAATTCGGAGATCTCATGGATCACAAAAGGGTATAATTATACAGTAATTATAATTTTTTTTTAAAAAATAAATTTCTATTTTTAATTTTATTTTAATAAATATCATAATATATCATAAATTTTAGTTACAATATTTAAAATATTTTATATTCTCTAAATATTAAATTTTAAACTTAAAAAGTCTAAACATTAGACATTTACAAAATTTAAGAAATTTAGACATACTTTACTAACGGATACAAATATCAAGAATGTTTGTGTAATATTTTAAACTAGTAATTGTCCGTGCTTTCACAAAAAATTAAATGAAAACTCAAAAAATATTACACTCTTTGCAACATAAAATAACTTGTTTATAGAACTTACAATTAGACATAACAATCATCATAATTCACCATACCACCATAATAATTAATACATACTCAATCATCAACACATATCCAACCACCAAAACATCAAGCTAGTCTCTACTAAGTCCAGGAAAATAATACTCATTTCAATCAAAATAACCCTAACATTCAATAGCAAACCTAATTTCCAATTCCAAAATCCTATGTTAAAAAATTAACATCCAATTTAATACAATTAAAAACTATAACATTCAATAAAAATACTATTATAAAAACCCTATGAAAAATACCAATTTAAAAAACAAACTATACAACCTTAATACAACCATTTACAAATTACTAAACAAAGAGCCAAATCAAATAGTGCTCCAACATATGTAATTAACAACACTAATCCAAAACCCACAACAAACACAACATTCTACCCTTGACCAAATCAAGTTTAACGAAAACAGTAGAAAAAAACAAATGCATTCCACACAAATGTACGGCTGCCACATGGAGTATCCCAACTTGATTTTCATCAAAAAAGAGTATGTGCATACTGTTCGGTTAAAAACTAAAATAAAAATCTGAAGTCATGTATCAAATATTCCCAATTGATAACAACAAAAAATGGGTTAAGTGGGTAGTTTCTAGATCATCGCCCCCACTTGGCAGAATAGTGGGGCTGTTAGAAGACCCACTAACTAAAAATCTCCTACTAATGGAAAAATGTTGACAGATAATGTATCAAATCTGCTACTAAATCCCACTAAATAAGTCTCCATAGCACCTCATTCAATTTAAAGAGGAGAGAGGGCAGGAGTTAAAGGAGGTGGCGGTAAAAGAAGAGAAGCAGAGCAAGAGAGGAGGGACGAAGGACGAAGAGGACGAGCGGTTTCTAGTGGGAAAGAAAGGAAAGCAGAAGAAAAACAAAGCCATATCATTCCACAATGATATATATGATAAAAACGATATATGCAGTTAACCCACATCATTGGTGAAAGAAACGATATATGCAGTTAACCCACATCATTGGTGAAAGGGAGGTACTCGGATTGAGCTATCTTCTGGCCTAGGGTTCAATGCGAAGTTATGGTTTGCATATGCCATGTGTATGCGAGAAGGCAAAGCGAGTGAAAGGGGCAAAGAGATAGAGAGCTGTAGGACGATCAGTGTGATGGACAATACGTAGAGAGGCCAAAGAACAACAGTTCTTGTCAATGGAAGATCGAAGGATGATCTGTGTTATGGACAAAGAATAACCGTTCTTGACAAAATCGGTGGTCGCTGTGAAGTAAGATCTGTGTGATGGACGATCTTTTCGAACAACTGTAAGGGGTTTGAATAGAGTGCCTGGGTGGGTAGCGTATAGGTGTTAGGTACCATTTGGGCAGTACTTTTTTTTTGTTGAGTCATAAGCCATGGCAAAGGAGTGAGAGGTGACCGGTGAGCAGTAGCCGTGTAAGGGTAGCCACGGCAGAGGAGAGGAGAGAGAGACAGAGAAAAGACGTGTAAGGCGTTTGGATAGAGTGCAGGGGTTGATGGCGTGTAGGTGTTCGATTCCAATTGGGCGGAATTTTTTCTTTTGGGAGAGATAAATGGGGTTCATTAGATTCAATTGAAAGAATTAGATAAAATTCAGACTGTTGAGTTAAAATTAGAATTTACTTGTGCTTTCCTAAATAAATTTAAATTAAATTAAATTTTAAAGTGAAAAAAGATTTAAATTAGGTTTTATTCGGGGATGGGAGAATAATTCTCCCAAAAAAACTAAGAATGATCATGAATGTTCATACATCAACAGCACTTTATGTATCATGGTCTCCATCATTCAAAAACATTCAATGATTTCATCTAAAGAAACAAAAATTAAAGCCAATCCATCCATCAATAAAATGTAAACCAATTCTATTCAAAAAAATCAACCCCAACCCCTGTTTGGTTGCTAAGAAATTAATGGGACAAAAAAAAAAAAGGAACTCTTAAGCTCCCTTTTCCCACAGTTTCCAGACAATTCCAGGATATATAAACCTCAATGAAGAGTAAAAAGCTTACAAAAAATTAGGATCCGCTTATTTATAACAGAAATCTATTCAGTAATCGAGTTCTTTTATTTAATGGTAGATCAATTATGGTTATACATAAAAGTCACCATAGAACAATCCGAACAGCTAAAGCACCACCACAGTCAAAACCCAACACTGAATAAAAGAGTACGATACTGGAAACCCTAAATAAGTTCACAAGTGTTCAGAAACGAAGCAGATAAAGATAGATAACACACTCAATATATAGACCAGATCTCAGATCTAGGAAAGTTGACCACAGTCAGCGACGGTCACAGTTTTGGAAGTACTTCCAGATCTCGATCCAACCTTCTCGATCGCCTTCACCACGTCCAGTCCCTCCACAACTTGTCCAAACACCACATGCTTCCCATCGAGCCACGAGGTTTGAGCGGTACATATGAAGAACTGCGATCCATTAGTTCCAGGACCAGCATTGGCCATGGATAACACACCAGGACCGGTGTGCTTCTTGATGAAGTTCTCATCAGCGAACTTCGATCCATAGATCGACTCGCCGCCGGTGCCATTTCCGGCGGTGAAGTCACCTCCCTGGCACATGAAATCAGGGATCACACGGTGGAATTTCGATCCCTTGTAGTGTAGAGGCTTGCCGGCTTTTCCAACACCTTTCTCCCCGGTGCAAAGGGCACGGAAGTTCTCGGCCGTTCTCGGAACAACATCGGCGTAGAGCTCCATCACGATACGGCCGGCCGGTGCACCGCCGATCGCCATATCGAAGAAAACCTTAGGATTCACCATTTCTCTCTCACTCACTGGTGTGTGTACGACTTTGACGAAAGTGTGTGCTTAGGGTTTAAGCCAAGGATAAGAATTTATATAGGGGTTTGTTAGGGTGTAATTATCCATGAAAAGTTGATCGTGGCCGTTGAGTATGAACGCGTGTCTGAATTCTAGGATGAATTGATTGTCATATGAAAAAGACTTTGACCATGGTTAGTTATGTTTTAACTGTGATTAACTTTATGGATGAAGAATAGATTTGAATAATTGGATCACGTCGTCGTATATGCTTTTTCATTACTCGCCAAAATTGCGAGCGGCCACGTGGTCACAAATAATACCATTGTAATAATTAAAATAACTTTTATTTTAAGTTAAAATATAATAAAGATCTTTTGAATATGCATATTATGTTTCACCCAAATTGATGGTCTAATAATAAATTATATCCTTACCGTTTATTTAATTTTTGTTTGATCATATCTTTTCGGGTTAATAACTCTAATTTAAATCTAACATTCCATAATAAGAAAATCCTCATAATTACACCTCTTGATTGTCCCATCTCTTTTTTTGCTTTAAAAAAAAATATGCATATTATATTACTTTAATTTTTAAGAGAATCGGAATTCCTACTTTAAAATTTTTTTAAAAAATTATTTTGTACCTTTTAAAAATTAAAATTTTTATATTTCTCCTTTAATTTATTAAAAGTATTACAATATAACTTTTTTGTTAAAAAATATCTATATATATATATATATATATATATATATATATATATATATATATATATATATATATATATTGATGAAATAAACAATGAAAACTAAAATAAAAGCTACATTACAACACTTCCAATTATAGAGAATGTAATGTTGGCGCACCTACCAAAAATGAATGAAGAAAGAAGACATTAACATTAGAAATGTTACAAATTCGTCCCGAGCCAACTACAATGAAATTCAAAAAAAACTATTACCCTACTTTACCCTTCGTGCCATTTGAAAAGATCAAAGAAAAAAAACAGATAAACATCATTACTTTTCAACCATGTTAGCCTTTTCTCACTCTTTCCCTCTAGAGGGGAAAAGATACAAATTTATACACATCTTGACTACCTTATAGCTAAGGTATTTGTGGAATACAAATAGATCAAACTAGGTATCATTCTAAGCTAAAGTTTTGAGTTTCAACCTCTTAAAGGAAGATGGATTTGAGACCAACATTCTAGAATCAAGCTGAAATTAAGGGCAGTGATTTGGTTGACAGACCCACATAGGCTATCAACGGATCACATTTGAATTGAATTCTGCCTGATCCAAATCTAAATTCAATTTCAAAAGTACAATCCTATTCCAATTTCAAAAGTTCAGATGTTATTTTTCATTTGGTCATACAAAATTTCCTCTGATTATAATTAAGCCCTCAGCGTCTCGTCTTAAAAGTCCGAAGCAAGGTTTATATACATACAATTCACAATAAGCCTTCAGTCTCTACCAATTCAGGATATAAAAACGATATTATCCATTTTAAGGTCTTCACCGAGTCTTTCAAGATTGCATGTCCCGTGGTTGCTGCCAAAATTGAAGCAACAACGCAGTTAGAAAAAACTCTTTCAAGGCCACACAGACTGGAAATTAAGACTTGAATGGTTTGAAGCATGACAGAAATGATGATTACCCTCTTAAAAACTTCTCGAGTTCCTTTGAGAAATCTTCGACACGTCCCAGGACAGGTCTTATTCCACAAATTTGTGACACACAAAATTCCAAGTATAGAGCCATTACTGTTATTTGCAGCGGTAAGATACATACTCCCAGTTTTTCAGTTGAAACTTGCCTAAATTTGTTGGCCTCACACAATTCAGTGACCATAACAATCCCTTGATCCTGCATCCAAGGATAAAAACAAGCCAATTTAATCCTAGCAATTGAATTTTAATCCAAAATGGCAAGAAGAACATCCCCCATGATCTTCAACTTCATGTTTCCTATACATTATTCTAATCGGATACATTTAAAGTTTGACTACTTCAGAGTATTGTTGATGGTGACCCAAAATGGGAACATCAAACTCTGGAGTGCAGATTATTTTCAAACATCAGGCATACCATACCGTGAAAGTGTTTTGTGATAAAAACAAAGAACAATTGTAGTTGTTTTACCTGCAAGCCATGCAAGATATTAGGCATTGGAGGTTCCGGAAAATGAGCAAGGTCAACAAAACCCACTGCCTCAGCCCTTTTAGCAGCATCTTCACCTTGTAAACAAAGAAATTTTAAAAGAAGAAATGCAATTCTGTACATCTGTATTGCCATAGTGTCCGAGAAATATGTTTGAGGAGCTGGCTGAGTTACCAGTAGCCTGGTTCTTGATCACTAGAGCAGTTGTTTGAGATGATAAAGCAGAAAACTTATTAGGATTAAGCCTGCAACCAAAAGCAGAAAGAGCAAACCAGCCATTTCTGCTCTCAATAAATGATGGCTTCTTGTACCACTCAAACTCCTCTTTCAGGATTGGATGGCACAACATTGGTGTAATCCGGTTGGGAGATTCTCCAAGATGTTGGACACCCCGGCTAATGAAGGCCAATAAATGAATACTTCTCTCCCTCAACTGTGAATTCTTTTCTTTCATGACCTTAATCCAAGAATTGCGCTGTTTTGCAAGCACACAAATTAGAAAGAGGGTATGTTCTGTTTCTTTAAGAGCATTCAGAGATGTTGGTCTTTTCGGAGCACCAGCTCTTTTCTTGTCATGATCATCAGATGGAAAGTCTGGTGCATTTAGATAATAATAAATCACGTCAGATTTCTCCAAAAAGAAGTAAGCCATCACATGATCCACGACGCCTGTACCAGAAGAACTGCCTCTCAAAGAATGAATCATCGCTGTGACTACAGCCAAGCCAAGTCCCCAAATGCACCGAGACTTTTCAATTTTTTCAGAAGAGTTGGAAAGACTCCTCTCACTTTGAATCACCGATAAAGATCTATCATCTGATACTCCATCAAACAACACTCTCAAAGATGCAAAGAAACCAGCATAAAGAAGCATCTCAGCCCCCTCTCTCGACTGCGCAAGTGTCAAAAGAAACTTCAAAATTACAGGAACAGATGGCATATGAATTCGGATCTTGAAGCATCTGAACAAAATGCTGCAACTGGATATGTTTGTGCACGATAGGGAACCAAGTAGCAGGTTTTTCAATATTAAGTCAATAGTAGTCAGGGATAGGGTACAGTTGTCAGCCGGTTCAATACAGTTGCAAAGAATGGGTAATAGCCCCAAACTTGCATTAGTTGCCTCAGCAACAACTTCAACAGATTCCATCTGAGTCACCTCATCTGAACCTGAATTCAATCTAATCAACTCAACTGACAAGAGGAGCAACACAAGTAAAACCCTTATTGTTGTTCTGCCACCAACAACTCCTGGCCTGAAGCCACTCAACACTTTGAGGCCATAACCCGAGGTTTTCCAGATGTGCACACTAGCAGGTAACGACAACCTTTTGTATAGGGAGATAATAAGATGGAGTAGTAGTTCTGCTTGAGCAGCAAGGAAATCAAGGATGTCTTCACTAGCATGAGGAACTGGAGCTAATAATTCTATAGTGGCATGGAGACACTGGCATGTGTGATCGATGCTTGACAATATTAGGTGCTCAGGAATCTTCCCATCAACTGTACCTTTCTTCTCAATTGACTGCATGAGCAGGTAACATCAAGTTAATATTGCATAGAGCATATTAACTGCAGAAGAAAAATCAATTATGACTCTTCGAACCGATAGTTTAAACTGTGGCCATTATACCAGTCCAAAGCAAAGACATAAAACTTAGAAGTGCCTTGGGGATTCTTCATGTTTGGAGAAACACATGTATTGATATCGAGAATCCAAATTTATTAATATAATACCAAAGCTTTCTTTTAACTTTATGTAACTGCCAGATTACACACAGAAATGTAGTTCAATTTTAATTATTGAAAGTTTGCACACCATGTATCTAAAGGAAATAAGGCCACACATTTGCCTACATCCTTCACATACAATGCATCAATGTTTTGGGCAGGTTCTTCATGATGATTGCACATGACACGGGTTATTATCAACATTACTATTACAGTGATAGTTGCTCATAAAAGTTTTATAATCTCAAAAAAAAAATTGTATAGTTGATGTTTTGATGAATAAGAATCAATAGATATCAACATTTCATAAAATTTTCAAGATCACTCCCACATTAACAAAGTAATCACATATTCCAAACATTCAGATTAACATGGATTCATAATGGTAAGGGTATTATGATGGAGGTAAATAGAAATAAGGGAAAGAAAGTTTTTAAACATAAGGAGGTATTGAAAGAAGTGGAGGTTGGAAATATTTTCAATATTCTTGGAGAGCAGCAGGAACAGGTTGAAGGTTTGAATGTGGTAGTAGGTGAATGCTCCATGGGAAATATGGATGCTATTTTTCAGAGGAAGGATGTGAATAATGAAGTGAGTGGGAATATAGAAATTGATTCTGGTGGAGGGGGCAGAAATGATGATTTGTTGATGAGTTTGAATGAGGATGCAGGAGGTACTAAAGAGAATGCTGAGAATGATGTGGAATTGATTTTAGAAAATGAGGATGGTCTCCTATTGTTAATGACTCAGTAATTGCTCTGAGTAAGGGAAGGAGAATACAACGGAAAGGGAGGTTTCTAAGGAAGGTGAATGAAAAGGAAGTTCCTGTCGGTGAAATTAGTAAGCGATTTTCTCCATCTGCTGATTCTTCCTTTTGGGTGAACAATGAATATCGTGCTCGTGTAAAACGCTCTTTCTCTTTAGATGATGAGAATGGTTTGGTGAGGAATAAAGAACCTCCTGATAAGGGGTTCTGCTCTGATGAGGAGAGTTCTATGAAAGGGGCAGATCTCTCTGACAGTATGGAAGGCATTGAAGAGCCTTTGGTTGATCAAGAGGTTGCTAACTCCACTGATTCCAGTCCTAGGCAGACGCCTAGAGGTAATCTATCTATCTCTACCTTTTAATGAATTTCATGCTATGGAATGTGAGGGGAGCTAGGAAAGATGCACTGAGAAGCAGGTTAAAGAAGTTAATATACATGAATAAGATTGCTTTTTTGGCTGTCTTAGAACCAAAGGTGGGATCTTCTGAAATTAGAGGATTTGCATCTAGTGTGGGCTTATCTTCTTTTGTGGTTAATTCTCTTGCTGAGAAGTATATATGGTTGTTATGGAGTGAAAGGATGGAGGTAAAAGTGGTTATGGTATATGAACAGTGGTTAACAGTGACTGTTTCTCATTTGGGTTCCCGTCGTGTGTTAATTACTGTTGTCTATGCTTGTTGTGATCATGTGTTGAGGAGGCCACTATGGCATCATTTACATTTGGTTGCTGCTTCTTTTGATTTGCCTTGGTTAGTGATGGTAGATTTCAATACTGTGCTTGGACAAATTTGGCACCTGATACAAGCACTGATCCTTTCCAAATAACATAGGATCCAGAAAACAGAACAACAGTAAAATGTAAGCCAATCCATCCATCAATAAAATGTAAGCCAATTCTATTCAAAAAAATCAACCCCAACCCCAACCCCTGTTTGGTTGCTAAGAAATTAAATGGAAGAAAAAAAAAAAAAAAAAACTCTTAAGCTCCCTTTTCCCACATTTTCCAAACAATTCCAGGATCTATAAACCTCAATGAAGAGTAAAAAAGGTTACAAAACAACAAGGATCCGCTTATTTATAACAGAAATCTATTCAGTAATCGAGTTCTTTTATTTAATGGTAGATCAATTATGGTTACACATAAAAGTCACCATAGAACAATCCGAACAGCTAAAGCACCACCACAGTAAAAAGCCAACACTGAATAAAAGAGTAAGATACTGGAAACCCTAAACAAGTTCACAGGTATTCATAAACGAAGCAGAGAAAGATAGATAACACACTCAATATATAGACCAGATCTCAGATCTAGCTAAGTTGACCACAGTCAGCTATGGTACTTCCAGAACTCGATGCAACCTTCCCGATCGCCTTCACCACGTCCATTCCCTCCACAACTTGTCCAAACACTACATACTTCCCATCGAGCCACCAGGTTTGGGTGGTACAGACGAAGAACTGCGATCCATTAGTTCCAGGACCAGCATTGGCCATGGATAACACACCAGGACCGATGTGCTTCTTGATGAAGTTCTCATCAGCGAACTTCAAACCATAGATCGACTCGCCGCCAGTGCCATTTCCGGTGGTGAAGTCACCTCCCTGGCACATGAAACCAGGGATCACATTGTGGAATTTCGATCCCTTGTAGTGCAGAGGATTGCCGTATATTCCGACACCTTTCTCCCCGGTGCAGAGGGCACGGAAGTTCTCAGCCGTTTTCGGAACAACATCGGCGTATAGCTCCATCACGATACGGCCGGCCGGTGCACCGCCGATCGTCATATCGAAGAAGACCTTGGGGTTCACCTTTTCTCTCTTGGGTTCAACTTTGACGTAAGTGTCAACATCGGGGCAGACCTCCATCTCGATATGGCCGGTCGTTGGACGGACGATCGCCAAATCGAAGAAGACCTTGGGGTTTCGCCATTTCTCTCTCACTCACTCAGCCTGCCAGACAATGGCAGAATGCCATTTGCTGAAAAATCAGTATCTGTGTCAGTTTGGACAGCAAATGAGGCAAGAAAATCAGCGATCACATTTGTATGCCTCAGCTGATACTGCAATCTGCCAAGCAGCTTCCAGATCTGCTCCTTAGTCTTCTCTGTCCAAGCTCCACATGAACAACCCTGCTGGAGTTGAGTGGGTAATTTAGTCCAAGAGAAGATGAAGACTTGCATGTGATCCCAACCCAATTGCAGCAATTGGAAGATGAATCAGTGTCCCACCCACCAATAGGTGATTCCACAGCACTCACGAAATCCCTCAATGCCTTCCAAGTCATTTGAACTGCACGTGAAGTTCTGAGAATTCAGAACTTGAGCTTGTAAACAAAAGCCAAGAACAATCAAGACCACCCAAAACTCCAGTATACCCATTTCAGCAAACAACAAAAGAATTTACAAACTAAAGAATTTACCAGCAAGACTAAAGTCGGGTTCCAGTAAAGCCAATGAGGTAAACCTTTTTCTTAATGATCAAACCACATACCAGCAAGACAACAAAAGAATTTACAAACTAAATGATGGGTTTGTTCCACAGAATTAGAATGATTCAAAGATGAACAATCAGAGCTAACGGGAAATGAAAATATTACCTGTTTCCACAAAGAGATATATAATGCTTTTCAGTCTCCAAGGAACCATGCTCTTCCCCAAAACCATTTGAACTAATACCTGAGAATCAAATTCAATCAAATACAACCTTGAGCACAAATTAAGAACAGGGCAAACGAATGAAAAGGAAACCATTCAATCTTTGGAAACCATTAAACCAAGACTGTTCCCAACAATTCAAACTCATTGCCAATGGGAAATTAGACCAACCATTTTTACTAGGGAATAACATATACAAACTGAAAACATTGACAGTCCATATTATTCCAGTCAACCCAAAATATCATGTACAAAATCAAGGTATATGTCAAAATACATTAGAATCAAATATGTATACCAGGCCACCATGTTGCTTCAATGGTGTGATAGCAATGCCAAGTGGATAAACTTGCATGAAGACAAACCACATTTTGAAATGAAGAAATATATCATTTCACCAGTAAACTTGATGAAGGAAAGCCAAGTTAAATCAATTCTACTTTTGCAAACTCTAGAAGGTAAATTTTGATTACCCAACAACAACAGAAGCTACATTGAAGGGTAATAAATTCAAGGCTTCTTAGAGTCACCAAAAGAATACTAAATTCTAATGCCCTGGGTCCTGAGTGTTTATTCACCTTAAATTTTTTCATAAAACTAGTGCACTGCAATCATTACATTTTATAGTTTCCTCATGCGAAGGTATATTTAGTTTGAACACATATATTGGTGCTCAAACACAAACACTTACACAAAGGATTGACAATTTCAATTAAAAATATTAAAACTTTTGGGTATAAAAACAAGGTACAATATAACTCAGGATAATATTGCATAAACTAAGCACGAAATATAGCAGTTAAATGAACTTCAAAATGGAGAGTCAATGGATATGTTGCAAATACTGAATGCATTATATATGGTGCATGTTGTGCTTGAGCGACCCCAATGAGTATCTCTTCATTGTATCGCTTTGAAAATTAAGCAACATACGACATTCTTATTTGAGTTCCACGTATGACACGCCACACTCACCAAAAAAAATTGACATTATGAGTAGTCTCAATAATCAGAAACCTTCTCAAACAATACAGTTGCAAACAATCCATGTATAGTAAACGGTAATATGATGTGTAGAAAAATAGGAAAGGAATTTTTACCTGAGATGCATGATGGAAGATCCCTGAGTTGGTTTATCTGATTCATGTTCAAGAAGGTGGACCGCTCATAGCTGCCCTATCAGATTCCCAATCGGCAAATGAGTCCTCATTCAATGTTGGAGTTTCATATCTTCCATCAACAAACTCACAGGCATCAGAGTTTCTTTGTGGCACTTCAACAAATGATGATGAAGCATTATTTTCTGTAAAAGTCGACCCAGAATAGCTTTTGCTGTTGCAAATAGGTGAATTGTTTGAATTCAAGCTCTTTGCCTCAGCCTCAAAACCTCTCCATCTTTGTACAAGGGTAGAAACACCACCCAAATGAGGAATTTCAATAGGACCATTTGACTGAACAAGAGACAAAGAACGATCAAAAACTTTCAATTTTCTATGATTATTGTTGCTGTTGTTGTTGTTGTTGCTGGCATTGGAGCAGTGTAAATTTAAATGATCGTTATTCTGTTCGCGAACCCAGAAATCGGCAGTTTAGGATTGTCATTGGACTCGGAATTAGAGTTTGTGGGTGAACCTGAAATGCAGGAATGGAGGCGGTTTTGGACCAATTCTTTGCTCGTACTGAGAGAGAGTCCATGAGAGTGAAGAGAGAGCCGAGAAGAAGAAGCTCACCTCGATTGCAATTTACGATCGCCTGTGACCTGCTTGGACAAAAGTGAAGGATCTTTCGGTAGGGTGTAGCAAAATATCTGAGAAAGAGGGAGGGTAAGCCCGTCTTTTTACCTGGTTAACCTGGTGGGTGGGATTATAACCTAGGGGGTGGGTGGGTGGGTTACAGTTAACCCATGTATATTGGATAATTTTTACTGTAGCATCCGGGTCAAAGTTTGACCCGGATTCATAACCTCCCTTACTTTTCAGTTGCCAAACGATAGATGTATGGACCCACTTCATTTTTATGCTATCCCTATGGCTCTTAACCTACCTTGACTGCACGGGATAATTCCTATAATCTTGTAAGGTAGCGATCCCTTGATTAGCGAACTTGAAAAGACGGGGTTAGAAGAAAGGGGGCCAAGCGTGAGCCCGGCGGATCCCCTCTGAAGTTTAAGTCAGTAAGATCGAAGGGTTGTTTCTTAGTAGATGTGTTCTGGTTTGATTTTGCGTACCTTTGTCTATTTTTCTGAGAAATATTTATACCTGAATTAACAATGATTGCTCTAGATCTTCAGTCTCATCTGGACATTTCACATCTGACACACCATCCCTCGTGCTGTGAATGCTTCCCCTTTACGCGCTCCTCCAATTGAATGCTAGGGGAATGTTGTAAATGCTCGGCCATTTATACTATGAGTCGAGCAGCCCAATCCAAGAGGTTGGCGTCTGACACCGACAGAGCACGGACTACTTGGCGAATCAGGGAACTCAGGAGAACCAATCGTGTTGTTTCGGCGTATCAGTCATTAATGTTTCAGTCATCATGTCAGTAGGTATAGACTTGCAGAGAGCAGTTGGCGGCAGCCTCGCATTTATTTGTCCTGTTACCATCACTCATTTCGCCATAAATGCGAGGTCATATTGCTTTGATTATGATGTCAATTGTTGTACTCGGCCGCTCTGTGTCGCCATGCCTCAGCTCACCCCCTCGGCATCTTCCAGACATCCTAATGACTTTATTGGGCCACGTGTCACCCGGGGGGTTGAGGATCCATACAGGAGTCCTGCCAACTGCCCCTCAGCCACAATCCCTTATGTGGCGCTCGACAAGTGGAGTGAAGGGATTGGGGTTCTATCACCATGCCTCATTAATGGCGACGGTTACTTGCACGTCTGGTGCCGCCCTTTTCAAATGCCCTAATGATGAGTCAACTCCTTTATTCTCGCTCCTTGTGAGGCACTATAAATAGGGGTTTCTCTGAGGAAGAACCGAAGAAGCCCTAAAGCATGTTAAGGCCTTGACTGGATTGGGTCCTCACCCTGTTGGTTCTGATGCTCTTAATCATGTTGGTCTATTGATTAAATTAGCTCACACTAACATTTCTTATAATTTCATTCACCATGGCCATGTAAAAATCTCTATTATGTATCTTGCACCTCAATTAACACCTCATCTCGTAGAAATCTTGTACTCTTTCCGTTCCTAAATATCTATCGTTTTACACATTTTTTTTTGTTTCATTATATCTGTCGTTTTATGAAATTAAAGCATAATTAATATTTTTTCTTCTAAATTTAGCCTTTAACTTTTCAATGCATTAGATTCGGTGGATGATAAATGTCTTTCATATTTTTTTTCTTCCCAATACATACTGAATAAGGATATTTTAGTCTTGTACAATTATTTTTTACTCATATTAAAGCTATTTAATAACTTCCTTAATCCCTGTACAAAAACCTTAAACGACATATATTTAGGAACGGAGGGAGTATAATGGTTCATTATACCCATGTTTTATTTATTACAGTTTATGAAGGTGTTGTCAATTTAATTAAATATATTAATGTATATATTTTTTATATATAAATATGATGTGAGAAATATTTCATCTTGGTAGGTTAACCCATCAATCCAAACTGATGAGCTTTGTTGTGTTTTGTGGTGGTTAATGCTTTGACGGGTATGCTAAGCAATGGAAAACTTTGTTCATAACAAAACCAAAAAAACTGACATTGAAACCATCTACTATGTTTTGTGGTGATTTTCTTAGCAATCTTCTGTAGGTAATTAACAAAAATCGAAGCTAATCATGCGCCTGTGGCATGAGTATTACTTCACTGGGGCAAAGGTTGCTTATAGGGGATGACAGGAACGGATGTTTTAGGGTGCTATGTTCTTTTCTTATGTGGATTTGATTTTCTTTTCTCTCTTTTTATGCTGCTTTTACGACACAAAGCTTCTGGGATTGCAGACTAGGTAAATGCTATTTAGTACTACAATGAGGGAAATCAATTGTGATCTACTTGATCATATGCTAAGTTTCAACATAACAATCAATCTAGTATATATACACCACTACTTTCAAACATATTTAGGTACTCCAACTTCAGTTCGAATCAAGAGAACTGTTTACGGGATTTCGAAGTGTGAACAACTCTTTGCATATTTCGCAAGGAGTTTTAAGTTTGTGTTAATACACTATATGGACTACTGTCTGTCAGCATTATATCCACGACACCACCGGTTCCAACTTACTACACAAAATGACACCTTGCCTATTATTGTAATCGTGATTATTCTCATGTGCATCTCTGTTGTTGGTAGCTGTTGGAGACGACTAGTACCTATGAATGATAAATTTAAGGGAAAAATTCTCTCACACTCCTACTTCAAAGAAATATCACTAAACCTCCATTTTGAGCTTTTGAAATACTTGCTGCCAACTACTTGGTTTATATTAATAAATTTTTGTATTTTCATTGTTTTGGTTGCTTTATCATATTGTTTTAAGGTAAGGCTGCTTGTCTCTCTCATCGTAATCAATTTTTAAGAAATAAAATAAAGTGTTGATTTGTTTGAAAAAAAAAATACAAAAATAAATAAATATATATATATATATGTGTGTGTGTGTGTGTGTGTGTGGAAAATGTATAATTTTTACTAGGCTTGGAATGGATTAATCAAACATAAAATAAAATTGGTTTAGAATAGAATGGATAGAGTCATGGGTAGAATGATAAATTATTACAAAATTATTTGTGTAATCTATGGGGCCTACTGAATTATATATTTATTTCTCAAACAAGGGTTAGGATTGAATATAATCTTGAGTTAGTATTTTAAAGTGAATGAGTGAATTTGACTTGAATTGATTACGACATAAAAAAAAAAATGTACCCTATCCCACCCCATTACCCAAACACACCCATAAAAGTTTGTTAGGGTGTGATTATATCCTGACCAAAAAAAATAGAAAAGAGGGTGTGATTATCCATGAAAAGTTGATCGTGGCCGTTGAGTATGAACACATGTCTGAATTCTAGGATTGATTGATTGTCATATGAAGACCATGGTTAGTTATGTTTTAAGTGTGATTAACTTTAGGGGTGCAGAGTAGATTTGAATAATTGGCTCACGTCGTCGTATTAGCCAAACTTGCAGAGACAACGGAGCGGCCGCGTGGTCACAAATAATACCATTGTAATAATTATAATAACTTTTACTTTATGTTAAAACATAATAAAGATCTTTTGAATATGCTTATTATGCTTCGTCCGAACCGTTCGGATGGTCTAATAATAAACTATACTCATTTAAAATTGCCCTTAACTCTTATGTAAGTATCAAATAAAGTTTAATTCTTGTTTGACTTTAGTAATGATATGGGGGCATATTTTTTCGGATTAATAGCTATAATCTAAATTAGACATTGTATAATAAAAAACCCTCATAATTACACCTTCCGATTGTCCCACCTCCTTTTTGCGTTAAAAAAAAAAATGCATATTATATTACTTTAAATTCTAGGAGAATCACACTTTATACTTTAAAAAATTTTAAAAAAAATTATTTTGCACCTTTTAAAAATTGAAGTTTTTATATTATCTTTTCAATATATTAAAAGTATTACAATATAACCCTTTTGTTAAAAAATAACTATATATATATATTGATGAAATAAGCAACGAAAACTAAAATAAAAGTTACATTACAACACTCCAATTATAGAGAATGTAATGTTGGCCCAAAAACTACCGCAACCACAAAAGAAGAACAAAGAAAGAAGACATTAACATTAGAAATGTTATAAATTCGTTCCAAGCCAACTACAATAAAACGCAAAAAAAAAACTATTACCCTACTTTACCCTTCATGCCATTTGAAAAGATCAAAGAAAAAACAGATAAACATCATTACTTTTCAACCATGTTAACCTTTTCTCACTCTTTCCCTCTAGAAGGCGAAAGATACAGATTTATACACATCTTGACTACCTTATAGTTAAGGTATTCGCGGAATACAAATAATAAAAATGGATCAAACAAAGTATCATTCTAAGCTAAAGTTTTGAGTTTCAACCTCTTAAAGGAAGATGGATTTGAGACCAACATTCTAGAATCAAGCTGAAATTAAGAGCAGTTATTTGGTTGATAGACCCACATAGGCTATCAACGGATCAAGTTTGAATTGAATTCTGACTGATCCAAAATTAAATTCGATTTCAAAAGTTCAATCCGAATCCAATCTAATAATCCGATTTCAAAAGTTCAGATGTTATTTTTCATTTGGTCATACAAAATTCCCCCCCCCCCCCCCCCCCCCCTCATCGTCTAATCTTAAAAGTCCCAAGCAGGGTTTATATGCATAAAATTCACAATAAGCCTTCAGTCTCTACCAATTCAGGATATAAAAACGATATTATCCGTTTTATGGTCTTCACCGAGTCTTTCAAGAATGCATGTCCCGTGGTTGCTGCCAAAATTGAAGCAACAACGCAGTTAGAAAAGACTCTTTCAAGGCCACACAGACTGGAGATTAAGACTTGTATGCTTTGAAGCAGGACAGAAATGATGATTACCTCTTAAAAACTTCTTGAGTTCCTTTGAGAAATCTTCAACACGTCCCAGAACAGGTCTTATTCCACAAATTTGTGATACACAAAATTCCAAGTATAGAGCCATTACTGTTATTTGCAACAGTAAGATACATACTCCCAGTATTTCAGTTGGAACTTGCCTCAATTTGTTGGCCTCACACAATTCAGTGACTATAACAATCCCTTGATCCTGCATCCAAGGATAAAACAAGCCAATTTAATCCTAGCAATTGAATTTTAATCCAAAATGGCAAGAACATCCTCCATGATCTTCAACTTCATGTTTCCTATATATTATTCTAATCGGGTACAGTAAAAGTTTGACTACTTCAGAGAATTGTTGATGGTGACTCAAAATGGGAACATCAAACTCCGGAGTGCATATTATTTTCAAACATCAGGCATACCATACCGTGAAAGTGTTTAGTGATGAAAACAAAGAACAATTGTAGTTGTTTTACCTGCAAGCCATGCAAGATATCAGGCATTGGAAGTTCCGGAAAATGAGCAAGGTCAACAAAACCCACTTCCTCGGCCCTTTTAGCAGCATCTTCACCTTGTAAACAAAGAAATTTTAAAAGAAGAAATGCAATTCTGTACATCTGTATTGCCATAGTGTCTGAGAAATATGTTTGAGGAGCTGGCTCTGAGTTACCAGTAGCCTGGTTCTTGATCACTAGAGCAGTAGATTGAGTTGATAAAGCAGAAAACTTGGGATTAAGCCCGCAACCAAAAGCAGAAAGAGCAAACCAGCCATTTCTGCTCTTAATAAATGGTGGCTTCTTGTACCACTCAAACTCCTCTTTCAGGATTGGATGGCACAACATTGGTGTTATCCGGTTGGGAGATTCTCCAAGATGTTGGATACCTCGGCTAATGAAGGCCAATAGATGAATACTTCTCTCCCTCAACTGTGAATTCTTTTCTTTCATGACCTTAAGCCAAGAATTGCGCTGTTTTGCAAGCACACAAATTAGAAAGAGGGTATGTTCTGTTTCTTTAAGAGCATTTAGAGATGTTGGTGTTTTCGGAGCATGAGCTCTTTTCTTGTCATGATCATCAGATGGAAAGTCTGGTGCATTTAGATAATAATAAATCACGTCAGATTTCTCCAAAAAGAAGTAAGCCATCACATGATCCACGACACCTGTACCAGAAGAACTGCCTCTCAAAGAATGAATCATCGCTGTGACTACAGCCAAGCCAAGTCCCCAAATGCACTGAGGCTTTTCAATTTTTTCAGAAGAGTTGGAAAGACTCCTCTCTCTTTGAATCACAGATAAAGGTATATCATCTCGTACACCATCAAACAACACTCTCAAAGATGCAAAGAAACCAGCATTAAGAAGCATCTCAGCCCCCTCTCTTGACTGCGCAAGTGTCAAAAGAAACTTCAAAATTACAGGAACAGATGCATATGAATTCGGATCTTGAAGCATCTGAACAAAATGCTGCAACTGGAGATGTTTGTGCACGATAGGGAACCAAGTAGCAGGTGTTGAAAAACTTTTCAATATTAAGTCAATAGTAGTCAGGGATAGGGTACAGTTGTCAGCAGGTTCAATACAGTTGCAAAGAATGGGTAATAGCCCCAAACTTGCAATAGATGCCTCAGCAACAACTTCAACAGATTCCATCCGAGTCCCCTCATCTGAACCTGAATTCAATCTAATCAAGTCAACTGACAAGAGGAGCAACACAAGTAAAACCCTTATTGTTGTTCTGCCACCAGCAACTCCTGGCCTGGAGCCACTCAACACTTTGAGGCCATAACCCGAGGTTTTCAAGATGTGCACACTAGCAGGTAAGGACAACCTTTTGTATAGGGAGACAATAAGATGTAGTAGTAGTTCTGCTTGAGCAGCCAGGAAATCAAGGATGTCTTCACTAGCATGAGGAACTGGAGCTAATAATTCTATAGTGGCATGGAGACACTGGCATGTGTGATCGATGCTTGACAATATTAGCTGCTCAGGAATCTTCCCATCAACTGTGCTGTTCTTCTCAATTGACTGCATGAGCAGGTAAACATCAAGTTAATGTTGCATAGAGAACATTAACTGCAGAAGAAAAATAAAAAATGTTTATGATTCTTCGAACTGATAGTTTAAACTGTGGCCAGTATACCAGTCCAAAGCAAAGACATAAAACTTAGAAGTGCCATGGGGGTTCTTCATGTTTGGAGATGCACATGTATTCATATCAACAATCCAAATTTGTTCATATAATACCAAATTCTTTAAGTTTATGTAACTTCCAGATTACACACAGAAATGTAGTTCAATTTTAATTATTGAAAGTTTGCACGCCGTGTATCTAAAGGAAATAAGGCCACACATTTGCCAACATCCTTCACATACACTGCATCGATGTTTTGGACGATTGCTTATGGCACGGGTTATTATCAACATTATTATTGCAGTGATAGTTGCTCATAAAAGTATTATAATCTCAAAAAAAAAAAAAAATTGTATAGTTGATGTTTTGATGAATAAGAATCAATAGATATCCACATTTCATAAAATTTTCAAGATCACTCCCACATTAACAAAGTAATCACATATTCCAAAGATTCAAATTAACATGTACTCTTCCATAATGTGTGAAGGACTCGTGTTAAACGCAGAGAAGTGAATGAAAAAGAGCATCATGTGTCTGAACAAGACCTATTGACCATCTCCGATATGATTCTCTAATAAATGCATTTTAATCATATATTTAACCAGTTTCATCCCCATTAATGGGATGATAGGTGGGCTGGAATCATGGACTAGACCTAGATATAGACCTAACATTTATATTATTTGCACAATGTACTGCCCTCAAAATTAAACCTACAATCTCATGGTTCTTTTTCTAAATTTTAACCACTGAGCCAGTGACCCACTGTTGGTAGCAATTAAAAAATAAACATATGTGAAAGTTTCTCCTTGTCTATATTGTTCACAAGGTAAATAATTTTGAGCCAGAAGCCCACATGATGGAAATTTAAGGATGAATACTACGATATAAGAATATTTAGCCATATCTCAGTGTCCTCGGCTTATAGGATTTGACAAATTTGCCACCTCATACAAGCACTGATCCTTTCCAAATAACATAGGTTCCAGAAAAGAGAACAACAGCAATGGCAATTAGAGTTTGAGTACTCACATCTTTTCCATGCACGGACAAAATAGCAATCAATGCTTTTAGAGCCGAAAGCTTGGAACTTGCCAGCAACACCATTGAGTTCACATCCTGCAAGCGGAGCAACATTGTTTCTGCAACTGCTTTAGATGTTTTCCACTCTGAAAGATCCCATATATCCAAACCTAAATCAGCTCGTAAGCGAATGGAATCAAATAAGTGCACATCCTTGGCATGTGCTACAACATCTCCATCATACTGACGTGAATATGTATGCAAAAGGTTTGACTCTAGGAGATACTGGGAGAGCTCTTTGAATGGTCTGTGGTCAATCTTACGACCTTCAAGCTCCCCTTGCAGATGGTAATATAGATCACTGAGTATTAAACTGTGTAGTTCCTTTCCTTCACTGAAAAAAAAAAAAAACAATAAAAAGCAATCATTTGTAGACTGCATCACAAGACAAAATGCACTGCCCAAAATAAGGATATAATGTCTACAAAAACTGGTTATCAGAAACAGAATAAGAAACAATAAATGAATCTACTTTACATGTCTCTTAATAAGAAACTTAAAGTGCTCAATAATGCCAATTTCACATGCATGTAGTGCCTGTAGAATCACACACAGCTTAAAACAGAAGACAAGGAATTAAATTGGCAAAGCACCACAGACTAATTCAATATTGTACAAGAATAACATGCTTCGGTGGTTTTTTATTTGTCATTGTTGGAGATTTACATTCCTATGTTACTTTCCTATTATCTTCTACTTTCCTAATAATGTAATGCTCTTTAACCGGGGCGATTTACAATGGGGAGGCAGCTGCCCTCACTAAAATTTTAAAAAAATTTGAGGTCTACGTAGAATTTTGAAAATTTTAAATGTTTTTAAAAACTGCCCCAGTGAAAAGTTATAAGACTAGTTCTATATATTAGCAAAATATGTGAGCTTGTTTCAAAAATATGGAATAAGATCAAGAGAACACTTTTATAGCACCCTGGTCCCGACTTTTCATCTCTTCAGACCTCCACTTTTTTTCTTTGGCCCCTCACATCATTCTCACTGGGTATTGGAAGTTACTCTCTTCAATCTCTCTTTGGGTTTTGTTCTCTTCAATCTTACCTCTTTCGTTCCCTCACTTAAAGTTTTCCCTCTCTTCAATCATCCGTCCCTTCGTTTTTGATTTTGATCATTGTTTATATAGTTGGTTGAGAAAATTGCTTTAAAGGAGATGAGAGCTTAGTGGATTCTAATAGAGTTTTCTTGCAAGAGGCAACCCATTAGAGATTTCTTCAATTTCAAAAACTTATGAGTTTTTTGCACGGTGATTAGAGTTTCTATTTTTTATACCCAATTTATTTTTTCCCTGATGGTGATGAACAGATTATAGAACTGCAACTATTTATATTGGATTGAACAATGATGGTTTTTTTTTGTTGGTATAAGAACAATGATGATTGAAACAAATATTTTTTGATCTCTTTGAAATATTATTTGCAATCTTGATCTCTTCAAATATTAGACAGCGGTGACAAGATAAAAAATTTTGATTATGTGAAATGAACTTAAAGATGGTGCCGACACGTCGCAATCATCTATTTGTGAATCACAGATGGGGTTGAAGGTTACGTTAATGCAATTTAGAACCTTTCAGTCCCCTCCCCTCCCCTGTGCCACTTTCATATGTTGAAATTAAAATGGGGGCTTAAAGTTTTTTATATTTAATTTGATTGTTCTGTATGTAATTTGGTTTTTATGCATTACATTTTAGATTAAAGTATTTCGATCAATTAGACTTGAAGAATTTGATTATAATAGCTTGAATTTTTAATATATTTTCGTTCAATTTAATAGGCCTGTGATAAGTTTAATTTTTCTAAATTACTTTTATTAAAATTTATTGATTTATATTTACTACTCATGATTCTTGTAATTTATTTGTTAAAAACAAAATGATGGTTATTGAGTTAGCATCTAACTAAAAGAATTGATTTTCAAATCTACCATAATACATTTTTTAAAAGAAAATGAACATTGAAACAATGGTCTCCCACTCGGGAAAGAAATGATCGAGATAGTGGCATTGAACTTTGTTTTAAGTTATTAAAGAATTTTAGGTTTCCCCCACTGAGAAAAAGATTTGGCTCCATCCCTGCTCTTTAATATCAATTGAATAGGTGATAGGGTATTGGCAACACACGTCCTTCTCACTCTATTGTTCCATAATATCTTTCTTCTTTTTTTCCTAAACCCTAATTTTCATTATTCAAGTTTTAACTTTATATCATAGAATTGATCACAACCTAATACATTAAACACTTATTGGAACCAATGGGAGATTGCCAGGTTCACCGTTATCAAAATCTAACATGAGGATTTCAGCATAAACATTGTCAAATTTTATCGAAAGCAACATCGTTTGATTCCCCATGATTTTTTAAGAATTATAGTTATTTTTCCATAGTAGTTTGAAGCCACCTGCATTCACATTACAATTTTTTTATGATTTTTGTTTTTTTGGCTATTGGGACTAAGATTTGCTTGTATTAGTACTGTAGCCCTTCATTTTGATTCGATTCTATTATAGGGTATATGTCTATAGCTAAGAATTAAGAAGCACGGACAAGGACAAAAACACGGACACAGACACGATATGACATAGACACGTGAACAGGCCATCTTTTTAAAAAATAGGGCACGGACACGTTGAAGATATGTTAAATATGTATTTAAAATAAAAATATTATCATAATAATCTTTTAATTCATCATTTTCCTAATTCTAAAAATTTACATTATGATATCACTGCATAGAAAATACAATATTAGATATTCCGATACACATTCAATATTAACATCCATGATCCAACAATCAATGATTACTACAACGTTCACTTTCAAAAGTATAAGTTCTTATTCGTATCCAAAATTATGTTACATTTATGTCCTATGTTCAATATATTGATAATAACTCCTTTTATATTTATGACTTCAAGTCGTATCTCTTTAAAGTTACAAAAATAACTCAAAAAGTTCTAAAAAACTTGAAAAAAAAAATCTCAAAACGTGTCCAAAGCATATTGGTTGCATGACCCCAAAGTGTTCTGAAAAAAAATTAACAATAAAAAAATGAGACACTTATTTCAGCACATGTTTATATCTCATATGTGTCCGACACCGACACTCTGGCCAAAATAAAATTTCTATGTTTTCTAGGCCAAGTAGTAATGCCCAATAGATTTAAAATGATTTGAGCATATTTTTTGAGTTTCTTATGTTCAATAGTCAGTTTTTGGGGCTTCAATAGTGGTGTTTAGTTACTGTTGGTGTTTATTTACTGTTTGGGAACCAGCTTTACTTTTCCTTGTTTCTTGTTATGCTAATGATTTGGATGTTCTAGGAAGTCTATGTTTGCTACTTAATAGATAAATCTCCAACAGTTATATAGTCCGTACAACACTAACAATCTACACACTTACCCCTAAGGGAAAAAACATTGTTGGCAACTATTAAAACATAAAGAACAAAATATGTAATGTCAATGATTGCAAGAGACCATAGCACACAAAACTATAAACATAATTTTTTTCATAGCCGAAGGCAACCATATGTAGTTCTTGAAAGTACAAGTAACTACACTATTCTCTCTCTTTCTCCCTTGTCCCTCCATCTTTTTCTTCTTTTTTCTTATTGAAGGGTCTTTTATTCTTTTTTTTTTCTTTTTTTTTAGAAACATAATACAACATCAGGATTAGGATGGATGTTTAGCACATATATGAGATAAATTAAGGGAGAAACGACTTAAATGGTTTAGATATATTTATAGACAGTGCACCAGTGAGAATGAATGATATGATAGCTATTATCAGTAAGAGTAAAGGTGAAGAAAGACCAACCTTAATTTTGAATAAAATACTAAAAAAAAATATTTAATGATTTATGGTTTAACATAAAACATGGCCCCTTACTAGAGCAAAATAGCAAAACATGATTCATGTAGCCAATCTCAAAAATATTGGAACAAGATTTTGTTGAGTTGTATTAAAGTACCCCCCCCGTAGCTTTCAAAAGACCATTGCCACCCCAATCCTCTTAAAGAAACATCATCAACAATCCCTCCATTACATTTGGTAATAGTATAGTGACATGAAAATTCCATATAATTTCTTTTTTATTTTCTTATTTAGTCAACACTATAGCAAGATTAACAGATTATCTATCAGACATGTCAACATGGTTTTTTGACTTAAAAACATAAACCTATATATTAAAATCAATGAACACGTTGATGCACCACTTAAAATTGCCACTTGAAAATTTTTTCCAGTAAAACACTACAATTGTGTGTACAATACCTGTAACCCCGCTCCGTGTATTGACTTGACAATTCATTGAAGGCAGGCAGACTGCACAACTGTGGATGGAGAACACACAAAAACTGAATTAGACCAAGGGACCTCAAAAGAATAAAGAGAAACATGAAACAGGAGAAAATTGAACCTACATTTTTATATTGGATGGACTAAAACTTGAAGTTAATGTACTACTTATTCCATCATTTTGCAAGTACACAAACATCACTGGAAAGCAACTAGTATAGTTTCAGCTAATCCAAACTACACATGATAGAGGCAGGATCAAACCTTTTGTGACAAGATATGGATCTTATCAATTAATGCTACAGACAGACTCCCAGTGTCCCCGCATTTTAATTTCGCCATCAGATGCACAGAAACCAAAGCCCCAGCGATCTGCAAAGTTCCTCATCAATATAAATGCACTTCCTTACAAGAAAACAGAAGCATACTTCACAAGTATATGTGAAAACAGCACGCCACAGTTGCTCATCACTAAGCATCTTTTTCATATATGAAGGATCAACACCACATGGAATCAGATGCATGGAATTGATTTCAAAGGTAACTCCCATTTAAAGCTGTTGAAGAAGAAAACTCATACTTCCAGCCCTGGGCAACATGAATATTCAGAATTGATATATTCACCGGAATTGCAAATGCAATTACGTGATACAGGAGAAAAAAGCATCATGATGACACTACGGCGGTGGTGGCACAAAATAGAAAAAAATCCCCACTGATAGTCAAATACTAATGAAGCAGGTCTCTTGGCTGAAAAAAAGGCATTGATATATCCCTGAATTGCTAATGCAGTGACGGTAAAAGAGAAAGCAGCATCATGATCATAGTTTGTAAGGGTGGCATAAAATAGAAAAGAAAAAAAAAAAGAAGAAGAAGAAATTTGCCACTGATAGTCAAATTCTAATGAAGTGGGCCTCTTGGTTGAAAACCAGGTATTGCCAAATGGCTTTTTTGGCAAATCAAGCTGAACACGGGATATATGACAGTATGCTTTGCTAGAAAAGCATAAACTTATAAATGACTAGAAGTGAACTCCAGCCAACAAAAACCATGCCTCTTGCCGGAAATCATAAATCAACAGCTATAATACAAAACTAAACCCTGCAATTGTATATCGCTAATATTATATTGTCAAAATAACAAGATAAGGAGAGGGTATTAAAAGACACAATTAAGGTTAGGGTTATAGTGATATACAACCTATAAGACTTGGTTTAACCCTTATGCACATAAGTATTTTCCAACCTTCTTGCATGATTCCTATTGTTGCCAATCTCCATAATCAAGGAATAACACTAAAAAACTACCAAACAGGTTTCAACTTGCTTGAAGATATGGAAGACAAAACTTACCTAGTTGGAAGACACTATACATGTGTCTTCAACTATAAAAGTAGCGCTGTCGTCACTGTAAACAAGTTAGTGGTCCTAGAGTCAATTTTTTCAACCTATAAGTGCGCTATTTGAATGTGAGAGATGGGCTGCTATGGTGGCGGAAGCATAGGGAAGAGAAAGAATGAGATAAAGGGGTTTATTGGGATAAGGTTTTAGTTTGAAAGTATTAATAGAGAGAATATTGATAATTGCTTGCAAACATGATTCTAGGTTGCAATATCAACAATCAACTAAGAGGAGACTGAGACACAGATCATAGTGCCGCAAAATGGAATTAGGTCATATGCACAAAATGCTTAATAGAAAAATTAACATAACAAGAGATTCAAACCATATCATGTCGTCATGGAACGGTATCGACGCATATAGTGACTCAGGTGCTTCAGGGTTGACTCAGAAGTGTCCCGGAAGACTTGGTCGAATAGCATGAGACTCATGGTTTACAAGGAGCCGGGTTGGATACGACTCGGCTAAGTTGTATTGATATTGATACATTGAATCATGCTTGTAGCTAAGATAACTTTCAATGGAAACTTTAGAAAAGAATGGGCAAAAGAGAATGGAGATGTGTGGGGAAAAGGAATAGAGATAATAGACTTAATTTCGGGTTTTCCTTTTCATCTTTCAGTTAACTTTCAAATTTAATTTAACCACTTGGGATTTCTTACATAAATAGTATATCGAGCATATGGGGAATTTGAACTTTTTCTATGAAATTAAGAATAGGAAAGGCGAAGATAAACAGTAAGACAATGGAGACAGCAGAATGCCTGTCTAAACCAGGAGGATAGAAAAAGACTTAATAATAGATAAATAGGCACACTAGAAAAAAAGAAAGCACTGGGTGAAGAGAAAAGTGCCCATGTCCCGTCCCCATTGGGTAGGGAATCAAGAGGCAGAACCTAGAGATGGACCAATAAATGACTATATTAGATAGTATGCGGGATGGAACCACCTTTTAGGGTACAAAACCAATTATCTTTTAAAAGGGGTTCATGAATAAGATGTCCTGCGCTCGGATAACAGAGATGGGAGGTTCGTGGAGCATTAAAAGAGCAGCATGTCAAGGATTCAAAGGGTATTATAATTCAACATAGCGGTACATTTGGTGTTGAGAAATTGTTGATTATATGCCACTTCAAGCATTGACAAAAATGCAGATTGATGGCAGAAATAGACAAAAACTATTGGTGATTGTGCAACTCTTTCGTTTTACCTCCATCCTCACTCTTTATGAAGCAAGATTTCATTGCCAAGAAACAGGGAGTGACGCAGAGAACAATATTTTTTTTAAAATTTGGCATTGTTATAATTCATCAACAAATAGGTTATTAGATCAGTTGTGAGGTTATTAACTCTTCATGTGTAAATGAGTTGCCCATTCTTTGTAAGAATCTTATTTATAAAGATAAGCTTCTTATTAATAATAGAGCATACCAAACATAGGATCTGAATCAAGAAAACAATGAGATTCACATTCCAGCCCTAGATTGCAGCCATTTAAACATAGCGTAATGGAGATTTATTGTAGAAAACTCCTGCAGTCCTTCTCCAATGTTCTTCTACTGTCCCAATCCACGTCTAATAGGCAAGTCTTGTGCTAGCCTACACAACTATTAATTTAGAAAATAGTCTTGACTCAAAACACTTAATTTCTTCACCCCATTTCCTTCCCTTCCATGCTAAGCCCAAGTCTCTCAGTACCTTCACTAGCCCCAGTCTAGAATAATTTCTGCATATGAGAAGTTGGGAATAGGGACACATCATAGCTGGGAGAGCTTGCTAAAGTACTCTTTGATTATAGTTAACCTAAAATATTAACAAAGGTATTCCCTCCCAAAAACCAATATTTTATTTTTAAATTTTATGGGGGTTTTCAAAATTCCTTATTTTCAATGAGTAGAAATGTGAAGTTAAAGTTTCGGTTATATCCGAGTCTACTGAATTGTTAGTCCAAGGGAGGTCCCAACAATTATTTAGGTATGAGGGAGTCCCATCGTTATTTGGAAAAATCTCAAGAAAAATGAGGGTAAATATCCACCTATAAATTATAAACTAGTGAATAAGCACTCAACTATAACATAAGATATTACTAGTCTATTTTTACTGCGAAGCATCATGACACAACTGATGGTAAGCCAAGAAGGGCACTAATTGGACCTGGCACAAAGCTTTTTGAATTAACATGACATAATTTCCATAAGCATTCTTCAAATGCTTCTACAATAAACTTCAGTGGGAGGCTTATGATACATTTTAAACAAAAGTCACGCTCACATTGGTAGCACTTGTCCACTCTAGTTTACAAGAAATAGAGTCGACAAAATTTATTGCCCTGACCCAAAAAAGGAAAAGAAAAATATTGAGCCCACAATGTCTCATCCTGCAAAAACTATGATGTAGCTTTTAGATGGCAGCTTATAATGTTACATTGGATGAAAATTAGAACAAACAACTCATATAATCCAATATTCCCTCAACATGGTGACTTAGAAACCTCAACCTCGTATTAAGCTCAAATATAGATGGAAAAAGAGAGATATGCAATCAACCAAAACACTTAAACACTTGGATGCTTAAATACTTTTATAACTAAGTACCTGCATAGACATTAGTCAAAAGACAAAAGAACATGTGCCTAGAGTTGGCACATGTACAGTGGAAATGATGAGAACATATAATTTCACTTTATATTAAGAAAGGGGCACGTGGAGACAGCCTCATTATCATCAAAACCTCTAAAGATTACACCCAGGACCTGGCTCAAGTCTTCCCTTGAGTGTGACATTAAGAAGCCTTAACTTACACCTAACAACAAACAACACCTCAGCAATCAGTTCTGCACTAATGTAATTACATTAAGAAGCCGGGACAACACACCATGACACAAGACTGGTGCGCTCTATCTATATGACCTAAGTTGATTTCTGCTCAGTAATAGTCTTAATGGTAACAAGTGAGCAACCAAAAAGGATGGACAAAAAAGAACATCAAATTGTAACCAAATGGATGGACAGAAAAAGATGCATAAAGATGGCGAAAAAGAAAGCAGATGTAAGTTCACCTTTGCACGAAGATATACATCATTGTCATATTTGCATGACGCATATGACTTGATCAGATTTCCGAAAGCTGAGCTCTCTTGCCAGGTTGACAATATATTGTTCAGACCACATAAACTAGCATCTTTTGGTTTTTCAGAATGAACTTTATTTTCTATCCCATTCTTTGATGATTCAGACTGTAATAGCTTCTTTTGCAGGAATATCTCATAAGCCATTATTTGCAATATATCACCTTGACATTGATATCTATATGCTGAGCTTAAAGCCTCTGTTTCTGTCAGATTTTCAGATGGGTCATCATGTATGCTAGTGGTCAGTAAGATAGAACTGGTTAACTGACTCCAGAACTTTTCAGATTTTTTTAGCAACTCCAGCATAGTTGTAAATTGAACAGCTTCTTGCCACAATGCCTTCAGGAAGTTTAGAAGATTCAGAAGCAAGTTGGGTTTGCTGAAGATAAAACTCATCAAATCAAAATGTGTCACCCTTCATATAGAAAACAAAAGAGGCATTCCAAACAAAATCAAACTCACAAGAAAACAGAAAGTAGGGGAATAGAAGTAGTGTACCTCTTGATAAGATGTTCAGATCTTCCAACATATTGCAGAATTGTATCTAACAGATTTGCTTCTTTAGAACCCAGAGACCCAATAGCACCTCCATCTGGACGCTTGGCACCATCATCCCCGCTTAATTGGACATTTACATTCTCTTTGAAACCAGTTACAGCAGCAAGAAAAGCAGGCTGCAGATAGAAATCATTTATATGAATGCAGTTAACTGTTAAAAACTTACAGATGTGAATGACCTATGCTGCGCAAAGGCAAGTTTTTTTTTTTTTTTATATATAGGAAACAAAACTTTCCTTGAGTAGAGTATAGTAAAAAGTACAATGTAGTGGACAAGGAATCCATCCAAAAATGGAAAAAGTGCAAAACATGATATTTGAGATGTTCTCAAGCTAATACTGGTTTTCAAGAGCTCACACATTGTTTCCCTTCGTGTTATTGGCTAAACTTGGGCACAAAGAAACAGTTAACATTATTGAGACCCAACTAGTTAAAGCTCGTTTATATATAAGAGGCAATACAAAAATATTTGTTCAATATAACAATGTTGGAAATTCAAGATATATAAATACAGGCAACAAGACATAATTAGTTACTATCATGAACACATAGATTACACATTATAATGCTACAAGGCAATATCCCATAATATCAAGATGACCATATATTTGCAGAATCTAAGGACTAAACATCAATATCCAAATCTTCTGAAGTTCTACCTAGTATGTAAAGAATTAATCAAAGTAAAATCAGAGAAAATACTGAAATACAAGATATTGAAGAACTTGCATTCCTGTGTTTATATGACATTTGAACAACAATTATACATTCTATTCATGCACCCAAGTAATACAAACCTGACAGCGTGCTGCATATGTCAGCAGTTTGAGAGTAGCAACAATGAGATCTTCATTCCATAGTGATTGCTCACAAAGAATGCTATTTACAGAATTCCTAAAATCTGCAATCTGCCCCAAGCATACGTTCAGGATTAAGAATCAGAACTACTTATCAAGTCGGTGAACTTGAGCAAACAAAGGGATCCTACAAATAAGCATCAGCACAACAACTAACCTGCTTATCATCCAGCCCAAAACATGCGTTCCGAAACACGTACAATTGTGAATATTCAGCAACAACTAATAACATAGACAGTACTCTTACTGCACCCATTTGAATTCTCTGCACGGAAAACTCAACATCAAGTAAATGCAATTTGACTTATCATCCAAAATTAGAAGAAAACAAGAACAAGTTACCTAAATGGCCTTTAAACTGTACCCCTAGTTTCAATTTAGCTTTTAAACTAAATTTTGTCTCAATAAAGGTCTTTTAACTATTGACTTCACACTATATCTTGTCACAATAAAGGTCTACTATTCATTAACAGAGGTGGACCTAGAATTTTTTCACAATGGGGCAGCATTCTAAATAATTAATGAATGAAGCAGCAATGTCACAGACCAAAATTTTATTCCAAAATGGTTGAAACGTCCAAAACATTTCTGTTTTCAAGGAAATCGAAACGAATCAATAATCAGTTATCGTATTACCAATGTATAGAGGTGTTTCAATCAATTTTGGGAAACAAATTTTCAAGTTTTTCCCAGTATCAAAATAATCTACCGAAATAAAAAAATTTATCTTCCACAAAATATTAATTCTAAACACTTTTAAGTACAAACACCTGTCTCCTCTGGGTTTTGTGACAATTTGTAATATCCTTGACAGACTGGGGAGTGCTCCTTCATGAGGTCCGCTCATTGTGGCCTTTTTGGAATATGCACATACTTGGATGTATTTTGAGCTATATTGTATAATCGTTCTTTTAGGAATAAGTTTATTTACTTGAGGAAAAGAATATTGTAAATCTACCCACAAGACGTCACATACAACATTCACCCAAAAATAAAAGGGTGCTAAATTTAATACTTCATAATTGAGTCTTTAAGAATCAATTTACAAGGCCCATAAATCACCAATTCAAAACTGAGTCAACCACAAATTTTTCAAAGTTCCGCCATTACTTATCAGTTTGAGTAAATGTGAACCTTCCATCCAATTCTATCTAAAATACCCTACAAGAAATATCACGTGATCCCTGCAAGGTTATCTGAGACAAGTCATAAAATAACTCAACTTCCCACACCCAAACCCAACTGTCCAACCTGCCCGCCAAGCCTATCAATGTCATCAAACTTATACTTCCTTAGTCAAATCAGAATTCCCCCTATGCACAAACAATCAGTGCAAAATCAAATACCTCTCTCTCTCTCCCTCTCTCTCTCTCTCTCTCTCTCTCTATTTGTAAAACTAGACATCTGCCCCTTTTTTTTGATCCTCCACCACCACAAGCAGCCTCTACAAACAATCGATGATGATGACTATAACTCTAGCATTAGGATTCCCACCTCACCCAAACAACCGAAATTAACCATTTCACCACCCTTCACACCTCCTAATTTCTCCATTACCAGTTTCCCCAAAGTCTTTTGACCCTTGAGCACTCTTCTAGGCACTTTCTTCTTTGCCACCATCTTGTGTATCATTTCTTAATCACTTTTGAAAACATTTTTCGGAGCACAAAAGCTTCAATTTGCACAACATTGTCTGATGACACCAAGCCCATCTCAACTAAGATTTCATAAATACCAAGTATACCTGTGGATCCATCAAATACTAGGGTTTGCTTCAGCTTCTATGTTGGCCTAAGCTTCTCTAAAATCATCAGTTATAGAATTATCATTGTTATTGGTAACACAGGAGAGGCTATAGGGGTGATTCCAGGGTCAGCCAAAAAAAAGAAGATTCAACACATAACCTACAAATTCACCAATTCAATTGCATAATATCTGTGGAATGTATATTCATTAAATCATGTTCATCATGTTTCAAGTTTTTCTTTGTTAACAACTGTCACTATGCTTGTGAGTTAGGTTGTACAATATTGAGTCATTTTTGCGGCTTGGTTAGTGAAATCCATAGAAGAAGGATAAGGCTGGTTGAGTGGCCATCTAGATCTGGTTGGTAGGTCGGGAATATTTTGGGTAGGTGAGATCTTTTACGATTTACATAAATACCTCTACTGCAATCACATAAGAAGTGCATGTGTCACTTTCTGATACAAAATGTCGAAATTGGACAGCACATGCACATATACTCAAATGAAAAAGTTAAAAGGTCTTAGAAAAATCTAATTCAAGGACTGAAAAGAAACTAGGGGTATACTTTAAGCACCATTCAGGTTTTCACTCAAAAAACAATGTTGAAGATACACAGGACAATGAACTCATGCAAAGGAATAAAGATATATAAAACAATCCCTGCACAGGAGATGACAGCAATGCAAAATCTGAAAATTATGTGATTTTAAATGGATTGAGTTTCTGAAATTGAACATATACAAGTCTCTCACAAATTTGTACAAGAAAAGCGATGTTAATGCCAGAGAGCAAACATATACGAGAATTATCTCCAACCACGCTCACTCACACGCCTATTCAGGAGCAAATGCATGATATACACATTATAAGCCAGTACACACGGAAAGGAAAAATAAAAATAGATCTCCAACACATACTTAATATTTATGTGCAATACTTTTAAAATTTAGACGATATTATCAGAAACCTATGACAAGTAGCAAAATACTGAAACTCCACTCACGTTTTGATAATGATGCATTTAAATTGCACAACATATGTGAGAATAGTAAATAGTTAGTTGCACATATATTTAAGTGGACACATCATAATAATAACATTCACAGAAACCAGTGGTAAAGTGCAGAATGTACTACTGAAGAAAAGGTAACTACTGGGAAAAGTAAGTGAAAAGCAAAAAATTTAGACGTAAAAACAACATGTCGCCATAGAGCCATACAGGATTCCTGAAGCATGAAATCAATGATATCACTGCTGTAACTACTGGAATGGGTTTGGTTGTGGATGACAGCATCACTTGATGAAAGGCCGAAAGGCTAGGGAGGCTATCCTGAAAAAATAGCACCAGTTAATCATATTTTTGTTCTCAAGTGATTGGCTGAAAAAAAACATCCACCGTACATTTATGTAGCAGTTATCACTAAACCAGTCAGTCTGCCACTTTCTCTTAGATATACACACATACGATTGAATGTGTAGGTGTTTTCATGCAAACTTGCAACATGTATAATTAAAAACAGTTAAAACTTCTGAAGTACTATACTCAATGCCTGAGAGAAAGAGAAAGAAAGCATCAAATTTCCAGGACTAGTCAATACAATGTCGAATTAAATATTAAACTATCCAATGCAAAACCAGTAAATTACTTACCAATGAAAAAGGCATGCACTGGCAGGATATGCTATCTTAAGAAATCATTCCTAAAGGGCTATGTGAGTCAAAATCTAACAAGGCGGCATACCTTTGAGAGATCAGAAAGCATGCTGAAGAGGATATCCAAAGCGGAAGATATAGCCAACTGTAATCCTTCAATCTCCATCAGATCGTAAAGGCGGCTGACATATATTTTCTGTAAGTGCAAATGAGTATATCATGACTGAAACATGCATATCCTTAGATAATGAGAAAAGGGCAAAGATAATGAAAAAAGGCAGCGACACTGACCTCCAAATCTTGTGGAGTAGTACAAACAATGTGAAAGAGAGTATTGTGAATGGAAGAATCAGAAAGTAAAACATTTCGGACAACCTCACCCAGTTTCCGACTGTATGGAACTGACAAAATGCATTTCTTCATCACTTCAAGCACCTACAACAATAAATGCATATCAAAATTAGATATATACAACTAAAACCTGCCTCCATGAACCACTGTATCAGCCACCATGAGACCACATTTTAATGTCCAGCGGCCGAGGAAATCAGATAAAACAAGAATTTAGTGTAAGATAGCTCTATGGTGGAAAAGGTTTGGAATAACAGAAATTATGTACATATTTGACCAGGTTGAAATACTTAAAACTGAATTACAGTCCAATCCCAGTATAGTGAATTCAATAGAATTGGAGGGAGCATTGATGACAGCGTCAAACTCCAGCTTAAACTTCGGGTTAACACAATGCAAGATGATGCAAACATAGAATACAACCATTTCAACAATCATGTACTTTGCAGAGTATGTCTGCCCATACATACCATCACAGACGGGAGATACCCACTATAAGTAGTAATGAAGTTTGTGATTTTCCCTTATTTATATCATGGCATAAAAATGAACAATTGAAAAAACAACAACAGAAAGAAAGAAATACCACATGACATCTGCTGTAACACCTTTACACCATTAAAATATTCATTATACACCAGCTCTCGGACATACCATGGATGGCTATGAAAAAATAAAGACTCATCTCTTTCATATGTTGTTTGAGGAGCAACAGACAAACGACATTTAAGGAAATCAGAAAGATACAAGAGATGTAGACAATTTTTTTCCTATTGAGTTGTAATATCAAAGTTTAACAAGCTGGAATTGCCCTTTCTTTTTAATAGGTTAACAAGCAGGTAATGTGGAGATCCACAGGAAGAACACTTGGCATTGATCAAGATAATGTTAATTATGCAGATTGGATTGGTTTTCAAGTGCTTAACTTGTTCTGTAATATTCCAAGGTCAACCTACTTGTGTTCAACTTGTTCTCTAAATCCTTGCGATGCTTGTTTCCTCATCCCTATCATTCATATAATGCTCATGGTGCTTCTACTGTTTCTATGATTTGGTTTTCTTCTCTTTCACTTTCTAGGGATTTTAGGCAAAGTTGAAATGTAAATGACAAGGATTCTCTAGATTTGGTTTAATGATTATATTTGAATCAAGGGTCTTTTGATAGAAGATGATGGGTTCATGGTTCTATAGATGTCTTTTCTAGTAAGTCGTCATTTGAATCTTTGATTGATGATCCTTATTGTTCACCACTATCCCCATATTCCATGGTATAGAAGGCTAAAGTTCTTATTAAGATACAAGTTTGTGCATGGTATGTTGTTCATGGTAGGATCAATACCAATGACATGCTTCAAAGGAGAAGACCCCAAGTTTGTCTATCTCCACAAGGTTGTGGTATGTCGATGTGATAGTGAATGTGTAAATCATTCAGTTTTGTGCTATCCTACTGCCTTGTGTTTGTGGAACAAATTGTTTAACATGGCAGGATTGAGATGGATGATTCCTTGCTCTTCTTCTTCAATATTTGTTCAGACTTAGGAGCCACGGTTTGGGGTTACTCTATGGATTGTGAAAATTTTGCTATGGTTTGGGTCATTTGGAAGAAAAGAAATTCTTTAATATTTCAAAACAGATGAGAGGTTGTGGATGGCTTATTGGATCAGACCTATCTTTCAGGGTATATTTGGGTATCAATCAAGAAGGACTTTGTGGGAACTATCCTTTGAATATTGGCGCAATGGAGAACTTTATGGGAGTTATAGCCAGGCACCTTTGTAGTGGAAGTCTCCTATGTAATGCCTTTTCTATTGTTTGATGTTAGGTTGAATGACTTGTCCAACCTTTTTACTTTCTGATGTATAGCCATTCTCATCAACAGAATGGATTATTCCCCTTAAGAATGTCAAAGTATCCTTGGATATGAGGAAGCTTTTACTCCACACTACAGCGTGTTGTTAGAAGTTTTGGTCAAGCCAATGCTGCTCCCCAGTTTGCATAATTTGTGCAGGTATGTTTATTTACTTCCAACCAAGGTTGCCCGGATCGCGGGTCGGTTGGGTACGTGGTATGAGTACAGGTGCAGGGTACGTTACTTTTTCTGGTGCACAGTGCGGTGGGAGTAGACTTAGTTGGTATGCTATTTTGGGTCGCGGTTCGCTTTGAACTATTATCCGGATCGTTTTCATTATTACAAAGAATTATATAAATATATACATTATAAAATGCAAATCAAGACCAACAACAACACATCAACTAATAATCATGTATAAAATAGTAATGATTGCATATTTTATTATCAGAAAAAGACAACATATAAATTTAAAGACTTAAAATTTAAAAAAAAACATACAAGAGAGCGATTAAATAGTTTCCTTCTTGAAGCACAAATCAAAATAACACTCTTAAACATCTAACAAATTTCAAATAAACATTACTTAACAATAAGAAAAATTGGAGCACATGAATTAACTGTCAACTCTTTTCCCTTTATCTTTTGCAGTGTTTTCTCCTCTTGCAAAGTTACTAATTTGATTCTGATGCAATCCGAAATAACGAAGCGGTGGCCTATTAGAACTAGTAGGTGACTTGTCAATAGAGACGGGCATAGAAGTATGTAAGGATGAAGCATGCTAGAACTAGTAGGTGGCTGCCAGGCTAGTTGCGTATAAAAAGTTGTAGTCTTTCAATAAGACCGCTGCCTAATTGGTAGACATTAGTATTTTAACTTTTTTATCCAAAGTGTGTGATAACATGTCTTGTAAAATAAAGGATTTTTTTTGTCTTTTTATCAAAAAAAACTTAAGTGTTGATAGTATAGATAGAAAAGAGAGAGAGAGAAAGAGAAAGAAACGGGAAAAAAGAAACCCACGTCGAAGCAGAGAG